CCGAGTTCAAAAGGGTAATTTATTCACAGTCTGTGGTTAAAGTAGGGCTGCTCAGAATGCCAGTGGGATTGTGCTGGGAAGCAGAGCAGTAGAGACACATTATTTTCTTTTTTTTTTTTCCTTCTTCTTCTTTTTTTTTTTCCTCTTCCTCTCCCTCCCTCTCTTGCCTTTTCCCTCATCGTCCTCTTCATCTCCTGTTGTTGTTTCTGCGAGCCCTGTGTGGCGTCTTTTAACACACGCCGGCGAGCATATTTCACTTTTACACTCATCCGCATTGACGTCCGGGCGCTGATTGAATTTTGAGGCGCTGCGGCGTCTGCCATTATCATCCTCATCGTCTTGAGTGGTTTATCTCTGGCCCCGGCTCAGTGTGACGCCAAGGCTGCAGGGGAGAGGAGGGGCAGGGCAGGGGTGGGCTCAGGGTTGACGACTATTCATGCGTTTTTCTTATTTGTGTGGAAAAAAAAAAAAAAAAAAAAAGATAGGAAGGATTGGCCTTAACCTGATCTTTAAGATTGAAGGTTTGTGTTGCCCATGCAGCGATCGTGGTCCTGCGGAGGTTAGGGCAAGCCTTTACCGAGCCTGCTTTATGCGGTCGGTCTGATTATGATTCACCGTCCCGTTTCGAGCCGGCGCTGTCTTTCTACCACCTCGTCTCAGTCAGCTGACGACGTGGCTTCAGCATTAACTGCACCTGCCAGGTTCAGTTAGGATCACAGGGTGTCATGGCTGCCCAGAGACCTCACACCGCCTCACCAGAATCAGCAGAGAATTATTCCACCACATGTCAGTTTTACTGTGTTGTTATCACCAAAAGCCACCAGCAGACACTCAGAATACCCTGCCGACTGCGGTGGTGTGGTGGGGTTAATTTGAGGTCTGGAGAAATCTCTTCCTCCTTCTTCAGTCAGTTCAATACTCTGTCGTGTGCATTCATTGCCGGAGCGGGAAATTGTCTTCCCTCGGTGTGTCGTTGTAGCCAGGTTGTTATGTATGCTCTGCTGCAGAGGCAGCGGTGTTGACGTGAGGCTGAGCTGCTGCCACAGCATCTTGATTTGAGGTGAAACTTTGGCATTGCTCCCTTGTCCCCGGTGTAACACTATCAGCCCTTACCTTCTCCCCACCCTGTCCGTATCTCCCCTTTTTTCTCCCCCCCTCTTGTTTCTGTATTCTCATGTCTGTCCTCCCTCACATTTCTTGCCAGTTGATGGAGTGATTTCGAAGGCGCATGCAGGTGGGGGAGCAGACAACGCAGAGCTGTGCTAATTGAGCCTTCTTTGTGCCTGGTCACTGCAGTGTGCCGAGGCAGGGAGGCCTGGGAGTGAATCCAAGCAGCACTCAAGAGCCCCACTGGATCGATAACATGGGAACTTAACAAAACAGAGACATGCCGAGTGCCCAGATCTGGGTCATTATTGTCTCTGGTGAGCCGCACTTCCACCAGGGACTGATCAATGTGAGAATATGGATCAAGATAAACATTCTCACCTCCTCTTTCTCTCGTCTTTGCTTCAGCTCCCAGAGCATCACGTTGTAGACAGAGAGAGCAGAGCTGAAACCTGAAAGTACCTTTGTGAATGCATACAGGTCGGAAGTGCTGACGACGTCCACAACGTCAGACGTACACACGCTTGCTGTGCTGTTTTTATTACACCTTAATAGGAAACATTATCCTAGTTTTCTAACAGACACATTGATGTTTTCTACTGGAAGCTAATGAATGTGAATGTGTTTGCTGGGACTTGGCTGTCTTGGCTCTTTCGTGTTGTTTTTCAATTCTTGCCGAATTTAGCCAAATGTCTCCATTTAATCACGTACTATTTTATCATGTTATCAGTGAAGCTAACACATTAAATCTTGCGACACTTCGCCTGAAAATATTGTACGGAGGCGGCTGGCTAATATTGTTTCCATTGCGTAGATCTGTGATGAATTTACTGTGACAGAAACAGCACACAGGGGTGTAGTGTGACTCTGGCATGAAGTCAAAAATTAACGAGACAGCTAATAAATATTGCTGCGATACAACTTTTGCTAATATGCTGGCATTGGTGATTATTTTTGTGTTGCTTGGTGGCTGGTGAGTCAAATGCTCAGTTTTCCCTCAAACAAACCAAAGTTACTTGTGCTGGAAATATGAAATACATAATTATTGTTTCGCACGTTAAATCACAGTCTGATTGTTTGGCTTTATATGACATAATTTGTAAAATAAAAGCAGACATTTATGTATGAAAAGGTAATGAACGGTTGATTTGAGTTGAAATATTGAAAGTCCTGAGCACTTAAAGCTCTCAGCGCTGAATCATCCGCACAAGAAAGCTATTAAGAACTGCAAATCTGTCAGTTTGCGTGTTTGTGTCGTTTTTATTCAGGGGACTTAGATGGAATTAGTGAAAAAAAAAAATCATTTATGTTCTTAAACTTGTGGTGAAATAGGGCACTACAAAGACACCAAATTTCATCAATAGAACTGATTTACCTTAATGTTCTCTGGTGGCAAGGGATGATTTGAAAACTCTCAATCTGTCTATGATTGTAACTCACTGATCTTGTTGTCCTCTGCTGTCAAGTACCGATAAAATACAGCAAAAATGACTTAAAAACACATTAACAAAGGCCTTCTTAAGTGTTTCTAAAAATGATCACGCACTATTAATGGAGCTACAGTGACTGAACAATCAGCTTATTGTAGGAAGAAAAAAAAAAAACATGAGATGTATGAGAACATCTTGACCCTTCATGGTTTTAAATTGGTGATGATGGTATCCTGCTGCTCTGGGTCCCTCCATTACTCACTTGGAAGGATAATAGTAATTGCTTAATGTGGTGTGAAAAAAAATGGTAAATGGCTGCTACAAACATAAGAAGGAACGTATGCGTCCAAAATAGGTGTGATGAGGAGCCACAAAATGTGCATATACAGCTGACTGTTAAAATCTGCGTTTAGGAAAATGGGACGATCCCAAATTTTTATAAAAGCCATTTCTGTTGCAATATTCCTAATGAGCGTTTGTGGTTCTTAACCTTTCAATTGGTGTGACTGGGGGCCTAGTGATGATTTGTTGTGCTTTGTTGGAGGTAAGCAGTTTAACAAACGCAGGGGGCTGATAGTCTTATCAGATGAGGTGTTTACAGACTCCTCATCTACTCATTTCATGCTTCTTCTAATTAATTGTTATTAGGGTTGTTTGTTTGGTCATCATAGCTAAAGGGCTACGGAAAGTGTATTTCACTTGTCTTCACAAATGAAACAAAGTCTGTAGTGTTAGGCAGCCAAGTAACAGACAAGTGATGTGCTTATGATGCCTTTATGGGTGCCGGCCAGTGGCCAAAACTGCATTTTTTGGAACACAATATTCATCACAAGCTTTTACACAGATTACATTTACACATTGTGCATATTTCCCAATTTTAAGATATGATGATTTAAGAAACTTGTCATGTGCTATTTAATTTTTAAGATCTGTAGTGGTACAACTCCTTCTGTGAAAATTAAGCTTTTTACCTCAACATATCCATATGGTGTTTTTTATATGCTAAAGCGCAAAATAAGCAGTCAGCACCAATTATGTCAACTTGGACTGACTTTCTGTATCATTATTCCTCTTGAGAATCAGTGTCCAGTTCGAGTATAAATGGATATATGGCAAAATTACTCCAATATTACAACTTGACCTTGTGTAGAGTAGTTTTACAGTGTTTGAGCAGAGTTGTAAGTGAGCTGGTGTGCTCCAGCTGCAGCGAGTGGTGACTTCATAGATGTTTATAGACTAAGGAAAGCAACAGTGTAGGGTTGCATCTAAGCCATTTATTAAGCAGGAAGGGATTATTTTCATGTATAAAACATACATAAGTATGTAACTTTGATACACAGAGATTCGTTTTTAGGGGTTTAATCAATGACTGGAGGAGGACTTTAACAAATTCCAACTAAAATGTGAAGAAAATCTGCTACAGGTACATTTCTTGCTGGATACACATTGTACAGCATGAACGATATTTCCTTAAAGAATGATGTAAACTGATAACTAGAATTGTTGCAGAAGAGATTTACTAATTGTCTCAGCTCCTTTCTTATGCATTACATTGGACAAAACTCCACACACACCTGAGTAACACCTCTTGTTGGTTTTGTAAATACAAATGCTTGGGATGTTAATGTAAAGTAATATTGTATCATTGTCCAGCCCTACTGTACACTGTACATAGTGTTTACATGTGGTCAGTGATCTGTATAAGCTTGACTATAGGAGCCTGTCTGGTGCTAAAGCGCTCATTAGCATGCCTTTAAGGAGCCGCCAATGACACTTGGTATTAAAATGTCAAATTGCCCTCCACTCAGACTAAAGTGATTTCAGTTGTGATTACCCACCATTTCCCCCCTGTCAACAGCAAAAAAAAAAGGCAAAAAAAATAAAAATCAAAAAATGTGCTAATTGGTCATGGGGATTGGTGGGAGACTTCAGTATTTTATGTCTCTGACTTCCAAATGAGTTTCGGAAAGGAGAGGCTGTCACTCTGGCATAGAGGTTTTGGGGAGAAGGAGGAGGGGCGGCTGCTGGCGCAGGCTCAAATTGAAATGATGCACTGTTCCCCCTCACTGCGGCTAGAGCTCACAGTAATTAAATGCCTCATTGTTGCTTCTTGGGAATTTGTATTGAATATTTCATCCGGCGTAATGATTATTTGGGTGTGGGTGGGACGTGGATGTAATCACCTTGGCTGGCTCTTTGATGAAATACTTGGTTTGGTGGTTGTGCTTTATAGCCTTTTTAAGTGCCCTTCTGGGTTTTTACTTTACTTAATGTCCGTGCTATTTCTAACTGCTGTTATCCACCACCCCCCACATTGTTGATTATTGGCTTCTAAATACGTCTGTAATTTCTGAATATGTATGTTTTTTTTGGGACTGGGGAGGGGACAATGCACAATGTGACAATGACACGACCTCAAAACCCTCAAATTAAAATGTGTCCTTCACATCTTGTCTCCCGCAGAGGACGCCGGTGAACAACGGCGAAGCTTTTCGGTGGTTCTTTTAGAAAGGCGAGCCGTGGCCACCACCGTCCAGCAGCAGGAGGGCAGGTGGGACTCTTGACTCTCTGCCAGGAGCACTTCATGGTTCACAGAGCCCAACACGCCCAACACATTCGGAGAGGACGAGAGAAGATAAAGTGGACAGACAAAAAGATAAACGAAAACATAATGGTGTTGTTTTAACTCTGTAATTTCCTTTTCTGTGTAATTATTGTACCTTTTGACAGTATCATAATGTATATTTTTGGTGTCTATGAATGTGTTTTCAGTGTTGTGGCTGTAGGTTTACAGCCAATCCTATGTAAAGGACTCAAACAGACAATCGAACAATCACACTGAATCCGTCAAACAGAAGAGGCCACAAGTATCGATGAGATAAACAAAACACACTTCACTCTGGAGCAATAATCTATTCTGTTGATTATTCCTCAACTTTTCATTTCTGTTAACTTCAATTTTTTTTAATTTTTTTTTTGTGAAACGGAGTCGTATTCTGGGTTTGTCTTTAATTCCATCTTAAAACCACATGCTAACGCTGAGACTGGCAGCGCGACGTGTCTCGTTGGGAGGGACGACGCGATGGATGGCAGCGGTGCTTCTGTGATGGGCTTGTTGATGTGTTTCCTTAATTTGAGTGGACTCACTGCAGAACAGGGCACATTGTCTTGTGTGGCGAGCTCCACTTCTTTAAACTCTAATTGGGTGTCATTTGATTGTGACAGCGCCAGATGTTTATGAGCGAGACTGCTGTCTGGAGGTCATTTCTCAAAGATGATCCAAGTACATGTTTTAAACAAAACTACATAGGTCATCCTACCTTTTTTCTCTCTCTTTCTTTGGATCACTAAAGGTTGTACCTGTCTAAGAGGTAGGGAGTAATGGCAGTGAAGAATTGTAGGTTATGTTGAAAGCATTCAAATTTAGAATTAAATACAGAACACTACACATATTTGACATATCAGATGTTGTTCTGGAGCTAAAGGACAGTCTGGACTTTTCTTCTTCTGCAGAATAAACAGCAGTCCTTTATCTCCTGCAAAGTAACGTTAATACATTCCAAAAACGAAATTATTCAATAAGTTACTCATTGTCTTAAACCCTATTGTTGCATGTGTAAATGTGTTTTGGTTTTAAAGATTACTAAGAATTTGTATATTGTTGTTGTGATGCTTTTATGTGTTAAAATAAAAAAAAAAATGGCTTCAGTAAAAGGTATCTTAACAGAAAATGTTTGATGTGGAGGAACCGGAGACGGTGAGAAAAAAAAATAAATCCACCGATACAAAGGAAAGAAAAGGAAAAAAAAAATCAGTGATCGGTTATGATCAGCTGATAACTACCACTTTTCTGTTTTTCTTCCTGCTGCAAAAGCATCAACAGAAATAACAACCAGGAGGAGACGGGAGGAATATAACAGCATTGGTTGCCTCCCCAGTCACGTATTCCCTGGAATACTAAAATGTTGCATGAAGAAGAGTGGTTCCCAGAGGCAGCAGACTTTAAAGGACTAGTGAAATCCCATGTGGTTTGTCA